AAATTAATGGTTTATAATTTATATAAAACTTATAAATATATATAAGTTTTTTTACATATAAATTATTAACTTTTTTTTTTGAACAATTTGTCAAGGGATGGACTCGAAGCCTATCCATGTGAGAAGAAAAATACACCTCAAGTTGACAAGATGTCAGTTGACTCGAAGAGTCAGGTGTTATAAATTATTAACTATTTAATTGTTTAAATGGTAGATATATTTAATACTTTTTTTAAAAAATATTATATAATTTGAATTACATCAAATTACACAACACTAATTATTGAATAGAGTAAATATCTTAATATTTGAGACTTTTTCCTTATCCAATGAATCTTATTTTATAATCCAAACTGTAGAATAAAAAATTCTTATCTCAAACTGTTGGATCTAAAAATTAAAATTTTTTTTCCATGAACTAAAAAATTAAATTTTTTTTTCCATGAACTAAAAAATTAATGGTTTACAAGTTATATAAAACTTATAAATATATAAAAAGATATTGTATAATTCAAAATTTACAATTTAAACTATTAAATAAAAAACAAACACTTAATATTATAAATTATTTTTTATTTAATAATTTTTCTTTTATAATTTAGTATAATTTAAATTATAAAATAAGAGTTTGTAAATGTACAAGTAACTCCAACCACAAATATCAATGTCAAATTCTTTACGAAGATGTTTTGAATAGTCAAAACTGGAGAACTGACGGTGAAGAAGTTAACAAGCAACAACTTATTACTAATGGAACAGAGAGAGAAGTCGTGACTTATCAATACGAAGAATTTAAGGCGCTAATTCGAGACATCCTCCTATTTTTTTCCCTTTCCTTATTATTTTATTCAAGTAACCTGATTTATATATATATATATATTATTAAAAAATATTATATAATGTAAATCATATCAAGTTTATACAATATAAAATTATAAATTATTATATGATATTGGATTTTATAATATTTTATAATATTTTTTTATTCAATACTTTTTATTTTATACAAATGACCTAATGTAAAGACAGGTCCGAGGTGTCAAGCCTCGAATTGCTACAGTAATTTTTTTATGACCGAAGTGAAGGATAAACCCAAAACTTCCCGCTCAAATAACTGCATGACAGTAACAATGAGCATGCCCGCACCCGATTCCTTATGATGAGTTACACAGCGGTTATGATAGGCATCCTCCCATTGGAATATCTCTCAATTTTTCGGTCCCGAAATAACTGTTTGGAGATACACATCAGATCCCGAATATCTTGCTTGGCATGCCACGTGGGTTCCTCATTGGATCCTATAAATACCCCTGAGCCACGTAAAAAGGTAATTGAAACCAACCCTAAGGTCTTTTTATCTCCGCCCTAAAGGTAGCCCCGATTATTGCTGACTTAAGCATCGGGGTGTCTACTCCGAGTTCCACCTCGGGACTTTGCAAGTCATCCCGGAGTGCAGGCGCGGACTGAAGAAGGACTTTTGGTTTGGTGCAATTACATCTAAGTAAGTTAATAGTAAGTTTTTTTACTAAAAAAAAGAGATTTTAAATGTAAGTAAAATAAATTTTATTATAAAATTTTTTATTATATAATTTAAAATAAAAATAATAATTTTTATT